GCTCTGGGCTGCTGTGAGGGAGGCATCAATGAATGACCATACAATGTTCCAATGGAAGTTTGCCGAAGAACACTGAAATTCATTGGCGCCATTTTTACATGTCGACAAAATATTCTTCATTTTTTTTTCCATCCATTTGAAGCTATAAAGTTCTCCTGAGCTTAGGGCTCGCTTCACATAGGTAGCCGGCATGGTGCTTCTGCTCCAGGCTCCTGCCGGCCCTGTCCAGTTCAGCAGCCCCAGCTGCTTCAGAAGATTCCCCGCTGGCTGTGTGCCAGGTGATGCTGAGCCCACAGACCTTCGTGACAGGAAGGGAGAGTCACCTCCTGCTATCTCCCGTGTGGCTCCTTCAATGTGGTCATTACAGTTGGGAAAGCTTTCCCAGCCCTTGCTGAATCACAGCATTGTCAGTCCCTCCATGGATTCTATTCAGCTTATCACGGGCATTTTTCTCCAATGGAGCTGATCCCCTTTCACTGCCCAGAGTTTTGGGTAGGATTATTGCTGCTTTTTTCCCCCTTTTTTGCAAAGGATTTAAAGCAAAGTTATCAAGCCTCTCCCCGCCCCCTGTATCTTTCACTAAGAACTCATATAAATCCCAAGGCACAGACCTAGCAGTTAATCTTTCAGGCTGTTTAAGTTCTTTGAAGTCACTCGTCCTGCTCAGGAGACAGGTAAGTCCTATACTGTAGATATTTTAAGCCTCCTTAGCTAAAGCCAGCTAAGAAATGCATCTGCTCTAATTCCTGAGCTGGGCTCCGGATGCTGAGTGATACGAGCGGTTTCCATCAACCAGTTATCTGCACCGGGCTAAGACTCCATCCCTTGATGGCCGTGGGTTGCTTTCCATTTTTCTTCTTAAGCTATCGATTAGGATCTTAATGCAGTCGTCAGCCAGGAGGAGGACTTGTCCTCACATCTGTGATAGAGGAAACATGATCTTTAATTCAAAGAATTGGAATGAGAACAAAAGAATCCCCTAAAGCATGGCTGGCAGCAAGGCAGCCGCTAAAAAGTTCTGCTCTCTGAGTCAGTGGTCTGCCCACGGTGGACCTGGAGGTAAACGGACAAGTTCCAAGCCTGGCTCCCCTAGCTGCACTTCCTGCCACCAACTCTCACCTGAGCCTTGGTTTCCTCAAACTAAAAACTAAAGATGATAGCCAGTAATGAGTAGGTTGCTTAAGGACCCAGAGGCTACCACAGGGTCACCAATGGGACACTCCCATGGACAGTCAAGGAGTGTTAGATGCCTCCCTTTTTTTTCTTCCTTGAATCTTTTTTGAAGGCAGACACTCACTCTTCAGTGTTCTCTGGGTGACAGCTTGAGATTAAAACCCAGAACTGTCCCACCAGCTTAGTGATCTCAGGCCACTCTCTAGAATCCCCAAGCCTCTGGTTCCGCCTCAAGGAGAAGGAGCTGATACTGACGTGGAAGGGTGCTATGGTTGCCTTCAGGATGTATCATCCAGACCTTCCAGCACTCAAGGAGGCCACCCACACCCGGAGGTGCTTCAACACGTGCTTTACCGTGTTCATGTTGCGCATTGTGATTATTCTGTATCTAACTGGGTGCCTTTCAGCTGCAAAGAACACTGGGAAAGGCAGGTTTGCTGGTCCAGCTGAACAGAGTAGTTGACTTGTGGTCCTTGTTACCTGGAAGTAACCCAATGTTCCATTGAGACTTGAGAGGTGTTGTCCCTAGCACCCTCATTCCCAGCCACAGGGCTGTTACTGATAGAACACAGACATGTCCATGTCCTAGACTAATTTCACAAGACTCAAGGGCAGATTCTTGGATCCTCAGTCTCAATGACACCTCTTAGCCCTTCTCCTGGGAATGTGACTGGTTTCTAACCCTCTGCCCACCACAGTGCTTGAAAGTAATCAATTTTGTTCGTTTTCAACAATGGATCCTTTAGCGACACTCTAGGATATTTTGCTTGTGGGAGAGTAGAACTGAATGAGCTGGAAAGTGACACTGTCTTCAGAATCCGAGACCAAGTTCAAATCCCAGTTCTCCCATTTGGAGCCATGTGGCCTTGGGCTGGAGGGGCTCCACTCTGATCCTCAGGTCTTTCTCTTGTGTAACAGATTAATCGACGTCTCTCTGGTGCAGCATACTTGGCAAGGTAAAACAATAAAGAACTTGTCCCCAAAGCGGAGGCTCAATAAATTGTACTATTGGGGAAGAAAAAAAAACAACAATAACAACAAAATTTTCTCTATTCTTTTAGATTTAGTGGCTCGGGCCTTGCAAATTGAACTGAAAAAAGATAAACTAACAGGAATAAAGGTTTATTTCATGTGCTCAGGGCAGGCCTCACAGAGATCAGATGAAAATCCAAAAAAACACCCAGAGGCTTGTATACCATTTCAATGAGAGATCAGTAAAATGGGGAGAAGAGACAAGTCAAAGAAAAAACATTTCAAGCCTCTAGAGGTGGTAGATTGTGGGGAGGTAAATGCTGGGGACACTAATGGAAGAGAAGGATTATTTTAGTGATTTGCTCATGCAGGGCCTGCTTAGCGCCAATTTTCCATCTTCTTCATGGCTATGAGACTCTCCTGGGAAAGAGGATTTAAATTGTCCGTATTTCTTATAAATTTATGCACATAGTCAGAGAGGGAGAGCTTTGAGGAAGCGTCTTTATGTTCAATTCTCAATGACCTTCAGCTCCAAATAATCCATGTGCTAAAGCGGTTTATTTTGGGGTGGCTTATTCTGATCCCCTCCAGTACACTGCTCTTGTCCCATGGTTACATGACTTGCTTCTCTGCAGGTGACTCTGAAGAAGCCATGATTTGCAAAAAATTATCCAATAATAACCATGAGGAATGCAGGAAAATAAAGATAACTCTGTTTCAGGGCAATTTTTTGGACAGCTGGCTAGTCTTTGTAATATATGACTTTGAGGGTTGTGATTCCATTCCACGGGGACATCACCTTGCCTACTAGAGTGCTGACATGTTTGACTGAGCACCATCACTTTGGTTGATTTGTTGAACAGCTCTGCAGCACCTGCCCTGCGCCAGACACTTCCCAGTGCATTTTATACATAACAAGTGCTTCGTCCTCGTGTCAGCCTGGAGTGAGGGAAATGAGGCACAGAGAGTCTTAGTAACCTGGACAGCTAGCGGGTGGCTGAGTCAGGAAGGAGACCTAGCCATTCTGACTCCTGGGTCCATGCGGCAGCAACTACCCCAAGCCCTCCCATCATGTTCTGAGTGGGTGAAGGTCCAGCGTGGCCCAGATCACAGTGACCAACCCAGGAAGCAAATTAAGTCTGTCCAACCTTAAGCCCAGGCTTCTCCTGGTGCCCTAGCCTGTCCCTCCAGGCTTGCCAGGGGAGGCTGGGGAGGCTGGATGATCTCGCTCTCACCACAGAGTGATGCCCAGCTGGTCAACTTGGGTAAGCAGTGAAGTTCCTTAACCCCCTGAATCTCCAAACCAGGCTTGTTTCAAATACAGAACAAGACATGCTAAAATATTTTTTTAATCTCAAATTTATATTTGCCTGTGTATCCATTTCTCTTTGCTATATCCACCAGCCTTGTTCCACATAGTAATGTGGCCAAGGGCACACAGAAAGCCGAAAGTGAAGGGAGGGGGTTTTCTTTCCACATGAACAAAACCAACAGGAATTGCAGTCTTAAAGTAATAGATGTTAGCATATTCACGCTTAGTAAGTGGAAGATAAAGGTAACAATGAAGCAAGCAATGAGTCAAAAAGGAAAAGAAATTTGTATCTAAATATAGTTATCATATAGATTACGTAAATCTATAGTATCTATTTATGATAAAATATGACATCTAGATATACAATCTCTATATGAAATCTAAATGTAGATTTATATAGCTATTTTGCTAAACAACCACTTTTTCTACTGTAAGTTTGTGTCTGCTGGGATCCTGAGCTCCAGCACAGAGACAGAAGAGGAAGAGGAAGAAGAGAAAAGAAAACAAGACAGGAATTCAGATTCCCAAGTAGCTACCCCATCCCAGAGCCTGCACTAGGCACTGTGTTTCACCATCTCACTGAATCTTCAGGAAACACAGAGAGAGCCGTGACTGTCCATTCTGTGAGTGACACTCAGAGAGGCCGGTGGGCAAAGCTTCCCCAGCAGCCGAGGCACTAGGAAGAGTCTTCACCTAGTTCTCCACATTTCCTGGCCTTCACAGCCACAGCCCTTTGCTGAGTCCTGGCCTCCCCAGCCTCTTTCCTTCTCCCTCTCTCTCCCTTTGGAGGTCTTAGCACAGGTGGCCTCCAGTGGGAATGAGCTGGAGATGCGTCTATTTCCTCCCAGTGGCTTACAACTTCAGGAGAAAGGCATGACTAACCCATCCCTCTGTTGCAGCCTGGGCCTGATGCCCGGTGTGATGTTCTCAGTACGACCCTCGAAATCTGTGAGTGAGGAACTTGATCCCAGATGCTTCAGTGTTAGGATGGAGCAGGGATAAGAGAACTCCAAAAAGAACTCCAAGAAACCCCAGCCTTTTGATTCTTTGTAAGGTCTGTCGTTGTTTAGAGTGGCATTTAGAAGAAACACCAGTCAGGCACCTACCAAGAATAAAAAAGCAATTAAAATGTTTTCTGGGAAATCTCCAGAAAACTCCACAGGAATTTTCATTCCTAACGTAAGCAAAACCTTTCAAAATGCAATTTTCTATGAAGAGGGAGAACCACCAACTAGGGGCCCCCCGCCCCTGCCTGTGCCCAGTGAGTCCATGTTCACTATCAAATTGTTTTTAGTCAAGTGTGGATTATATACAAGAAATCAATTTTGTTGTTGAATTAAGCTGAGACAATAATGGGGTTAATATTGTTATCTCAGCTTAACCCAACCTATACTAACTACTTCAAAGCCTTTTTCAGATTGTTATTCTAATGACTCCCCATGTGCTGCTCTCAAAGTACATTCTGCATCCATGTTTTTAATATTCAACCCTATTCCCTCTAAGTGCCAACTTGTCTGCTTCCAGGTGGCCAGAGGATCACAACATGCCAAGCTTCCTTCTGCATGGGCCCCCACTAAGGCTGTGCATGGGACTTGCCTGTGTCCTGTCCCTCGGGAACACAGGTAGGCCTGGTCAGTTCCAGAAGTATCTGCTCTATATAGGAAATTTGGGTATTCATTGTGCTTTGAGAATCTCAGCAGCCAATGTTTCAACCCTAACCCTAAATGAATCTGATCAAAATGGCCACTGTAAGTCCATTTTGGTTTTTATGTTTTGTTTCCTCCTCCCATTTCTCTCCTTCACTCCCCAAACATCACTCAATGACGCCCTACTTCAGGGGACTGTCCTGAGCCCCAGGTGCTCCACAGGCCCTTCTTTTCTCACCTTCACCCGTTCCTATAAATCCCCACCTCTTTTCTCCCATGGGCTCCATCACCTTGGCCTTCTGTCAGTTCTTCAAAGTAATGTGCCCACTGCAGGCCTTTGGCTATGCTACCCTGCCCATGGAAGGCCCTCTTGGCCAGCTAAATCCTACCCGAACACGATTCATCCTTCAAGTCAGGGCTTAATGCCCCCCAACACACACACACACACACACACACACACTTACACGAAGGCCTCCAGGTCACTGACATGAGATCAGGCTCCTGCTGTCCCCACTCACAGTCCACACTCACAACACTGAGCAGACCCTGTTGCTCCATGGTGTCATCAAGTTCTAGTGTTCTAACAGTTCGTCACTAAGTATTTGATGGCTAATGATTGGACAAATGAGCAGACTACATGTGGGATTTTAAGCAAATCACAATTTCAGATTATAATTTTCTCATCTATAAAATGGGCAATTCAATTTGAATTCTCTCTGATGTTACCTCTGGGTTATAATTTCTCTGTTGAAACATTTTTTACTTTAGTGTCTGGCGTTAAGGGAGAATCCAAGAAAGAAAAGGGAATGACCTTCCTACCTATAACAGGTAAATGGGCAGGGTCTCCTCCTGCGCTCATCATTCTTGGGCAAATTCCATGACCCTCTGTGCCTCCCTTCTCTCTCCATGGCCGGAGACTGAGTCTGCAGCTAACGCTCTGACAGTCACCGTCATCATTCCCATGGGCGGCAGCTGACCCTATGGCTTGTTGGATACTTGGATTCTCTCACAATCTTATGAAATCACCGAGACCGATGTGACATTCCACCAGTGACAGAAGGTTTTATAATGGGAAGCATTGTCATTGGCCATCATCACCTTCGTAATAGTTTCATCTCTCTTTGCCTTTCCTTTGTGATGGTATGAAATTGGCTGTGCAGAGATGACGAATACCTGGCACTGTACGGAACAGAGTCAGGGAGCAATGCTCTCTTCCTGTTTTTTCTTATTTTGACACAGAGTGTCTCTAAGTTGACAGGCTGTCCCTGAACTTCTGATCCTCCTGCCTCGGCATCCAGACTTACTGGGGTTACAGGCGTGAGCCACCAAGCCTGACCTAAATTTTTGATAAATAAGCAAACAATTTTTATATGCTTTTTTTCAGGGGAGAGGCATGAAAGTTACTTTTAATTTTCTAATTTTTTATCTTTAATTAGTTAGAACACTCTCATAATTCAATTACACAAGGTTCAAAGGTATATAAAGGTAAAAAGCTTCCCCAGCCCACTCCTCCCCTTTCCCTAAGGATGCCAGAGGCACCAAATGTGAACAAGTAGGATCATTTTTCATGAATATTAACCCTATTTGAACTTCCAATTTTCTCCTCCTCAAATGAAAACACAGTTCCTGTTCTGTAGATAATCATAAAGGATGAGAGGTGATAAAATACTCAGTGTGAAGAAGCATGAGATGTGTCAGGTACCTTCCGTTGTAAAGATACCACTGTCTGCTTGTGTTTTGGAGGTGCTGGGGATGGAGCCCAGGGTCTCCCACATGCTAACCAAGCACTCCACCACTGAGCTACCCATTCTCCAAGGTTGCTTTTTTATCCAAAAATAGAATAGAATAATGAATTTATATAATCTATCCAGAAATTTATTTGAAAAATGCTTCTGTGTATAACATCTTATTCCATAATTTGTGCTTCAGGGGTATTTAGTTCACACTTCAAATAGTGTTACTAAAATCCACCCAAGGATTTGCAGTTAGAAAAAGGAGTGCTAGGCATAATTTTTTTAAGTAAAAGGAGTCTGTTCAAGAATTATGGTCAGAAAATATAATAATTATGGGGGCATAATTTTAATTTAATATTTATTTTCATATGCATAGTCCATAAGTATGAATTCAAGAAGATGGGATAGACTCATTGAAGCCATTCCATTTATTTCTGAGAGATTATTTTGCAGGAATCATGTATGCTTTATTAGATTCTATTAAATCTAAAATTATTACTATCAAATCAATTAGAATACACCTAAATTTATGGAAGTAAAAACAATGTGAGTAGATTTATTTACTTAAAATAGCAAACTAATAATAAAAGAGAAAGAGAGAAAGAGAGAGAGAGAGAGAGAGAGAGAGAGAGAGAGAGAATTATGGTCAGAAAGACTGAACCAGGCTGACCACGGTGGCAGAAAGGTGTGGGCATCATGCCAGGCAGCAGCCCTCAGTAGCCCTGTACCCTGCACAGAGGCTGCTGCTGCTGGGTGGGTAGCTGGCAGGCCTGGGGGTGCCCCCCCCCGCCAGATCTCAGGGGCTGCTCCAGGGCAGACTGTGCAGGTACAGTGCTACTCAGAGCACCTGAGGAGATAGAGCTGGACTCTTCCAAGCCAGTGAACAAGTTATTTGACAGCTTGACCTGCTTAATAATTTATGTTTGTCTCAAAGTTCCTTTTGTTCTAACATAGCCCCTCTACCTCTGGCAGCCACATTATGGGAAAGGGAATTCATAGCCCCCATGTGCCTCTAACCCTGGAATATCTGGTATTTAACCAAAAAATCTTTGATAACTGTTAAAAAGCCACAATGGTGTAAGCAGCCAAAAGTTGACCTGACCTCAGCTTCAGTAGGATACTTGAAAAGCTGGAGGGCACAGGCTACCTAGCCATCGGTGGATGGATGGATAAGAACTTATGGCCTATACGTAGAATGGAATATGATTCAATTTTGAGAGAAGAAAATCCTTCCTTTTGCAACAACACAGATGAATTCTGAGGACATAGTGTTCCATGGAATAAGCCAGTCACAGCAGGGCACTTACATGAGGACTCTGGAAGAGGGAGACTCTCAGGCACAGAGAGGAGAAAGGTGGTCACCAGGGATGGAGGAGGAAGGACGTGGAGTTTGTCGTTCAACACGTATAAAGTTTCAGATCTACAAGATGAAGGAGTTCTAGAGCTCTGCCGTACAACACAGCGCCTATGGCTAATGATACCATACTGTGCCTGAAAAATGTGGTTGGGGGTAGACTTCATATTAATTGTTCTTATCACACTAAAATGAAATTAAAAAAAAAGCAGGTGGAAGCAGCACGGTCAAGCAGAGGGTTTTATCTTAGCCTCTAGCTGGCTATGGGTTTAACTTTTATGCATCTCAATTTTCTCCCCCTTCAGATGGATAAATTATATGGAGCTACACTTCCAGGATACTATTTTCCTGATAAAAATTTTTATTTCAGTGTCTGGAAACAGAGGCATTAATAAGGAGAAAGATGGGGCTCTCCCAGGAGCAACAGGTAACTAGGCTAACCCTGGCTTCTCTGGAGCACTGGGTACCTCTTTCAGACTCTCTGGGCCTTTGGTTCTTCCATCTATAAAATGGACATAAATCACCCTCTCCATATAAATGTACGTGGAAAATAAGCATCAACTTTTTATTTTTTAGTTGTAGTTGGACACAATACCTTTATTTATTTTTATGTGGTGCTGAGGATCCAACTCGGGGCCTCGAATGTGCTAGGCGAGCGCTCTACCGCTGAGCCACAACCGCAGCCCAGCATTAACGTTTAATTATGGCTGCAGCAAAGACAGCAGCAGGTACAGTGTGGCAGTAACTCCTCTAATGCAAGCTAACTGATCCTCCAGGTCAGTCATTTCCTCAGGAGGCCTTCTCCATCCCCAGCTCAGTGAGCTCAGAAGAGTGCTGACAGCACCCTGCTGTTCCCTGTCATTCCATGTCACCTGTCATTACAGGTGAATCTCCTGCTGCCCAAGCCACAGACAGGAAGCTTCCTGGAGATAGAGACGATTATTTCCAGTTTACCTCATTGTACCCCACACCTAGCACCTTGCTAGGCCCTCCATGAGTATCTGTTGAATAAATGAATGAATGCTTTTGACATTTCAAAATTTCCTTTGATATTTTCTTGGACATCACAAACTTTGCCAAGTAGACAAGCAACCTGATGCTTTGGAGGGACCTCTTCTCTGCAGTTCTAGGAAGTCGATTCTAAGCCCTTTGTTACCATTGCTCAGTTGGTACAGTGAAGGCAAGTTCTTGCTGTGCTCAGAACCTCAGTTTCCTGACGCAGTTAAGGAGTTGGGTAGATTAGACTCTCTGTATTGTAATCATTTTTTATATTTATTAAGATGTAGATTTGCAGGCCACACCCATCCCTGGGAAATTAAGATTTGGAGTGAGGGTGCCTGCAAGAGGACTCTGGACCTGCCTTTCTCAGTTTCCCCCAGGGACCTTATTATACTGCTGAGCCTGAGGCCAGCTACAGCAGGGCTCCAACTTCTCCAGCTCCCTGAGGCTGGGAATGGGGAGTTGCATTTCGGTCATGAAAACTTTCTCCTTCCTAGTGTCTGTCCTTAGAAGAGAAGAGAGAAAGGAAAAGGGGGTGGCATTTCTCGCTAACACCGGTGAGTCTCCCCCCTACCACTTCACACAGATATGGGATGCTGCACATTCTACCACCTCCCTGAACCTCCCCGACAGTAGGGGTAGCAGCATCTCTAATTGTTAGGTGAGCATTTAGTATAATTTGAAGACAAGGCTTGCAGCAATATTAAGAGGAGCATGGAGCACCGTTGCTGCCAGGTCCACTCAGTTTCAAGCAACACTTGGGAGAAGAAGGTTTCCCCTGGCAGTGTCCGTCCACGTGGCTGCACACATTGATACCTGGGGGTTTTCCTTTTTCATACTGATGACCTATGAAACCTGGAGCTCTGAGGAGGGAGCCCAAGCATCAAAATCGTGGACTTTGAAACCAAATCTTCTCCGGTGATGTCAGTGGCCCACCAGGATTTATACCCCTCTTTCACACAAGCACTTATTTCCAAATTCAGAGCCACCTAGACCCCCTGTGATATCCGTGGGCTTCCGGTTACAGGTGACAGGTGTCCCACCAACCCCGAGCCCCTCCAAGGCAGAAGTGAAACAATCCTGAGGGTTTCTTGGGTTTCCTTTGGTCACCATGTTGGTCACCATGTGTGTGGTTGACTGTCGCCTCTTTACTTCCTGGTAGAAACCTCCCCTTGTCTTCAAGCCCCCTGTGCCTAGCACTGGGCACGTGTGCAGCCCCCAGCCAAAGTGAAAGTTCATCTGCCTGCCCTTTAGAAAGGAGAGGCTGTCTCTGTGCGAAGACAGCCGGCGGGCAGCCTTGCCTTTTCACCTCTTCCAGAGGTCCCTGCAAGGTCTGTGGATCTGTCAGCGCTGAACCTGACAGAGCTCGTGAATGGGATGCTGAGCAGAGCTTTAAAAGGTAAGGACTTCTGTCCGCACCCTCTACACCTTCTCTTCTGGACCCGTCTGCCACCTGGGCCAGATACACCCCTCTACTGCGCCTCGGTCTCTCCATGCTAGGGGTGGGGAGAATACAGTGTGCTGTCTAACCCACAAGGAGACTGAAAATAACAGTGAGAGGTAGGAGTCTGCCAGCATTCTGAAAGCAAACTACACCCCAGACACGCTGTATGGGCAGCGGTCATAAACAGAACTCTTATAGCCGTAATCTAGCAATAATTATCCATTGGATAAGTTAATATGATCCAGAATTTCTCTCCTTAAAGCATAATGAGTCCTACTGAGTGCTTACAATATCATTGCAATCAACTTCCTTTCTATGTTCTTTTAACTTTTATTGATAGTATATGCTTAATAAATGGGAATGTATGAATCTACTATAATAAGAATTAGGAGGTAGATGGCTAGAAGTAGGACCTGCTAAAATGAGGCAAAGCATGAAAGCAAAGCCCAGTCTTTACTTCATTATCTATATTACACTTTGTTCAATAAATATTTGCGAAGCACCTGTCATGTACCAGGTGCTCCCTATTCTAAGTATTGGTGGCAAAACAGTGAACAAATCCAGCAAAGATCCCTGTCCTGGAGGACTCATATTCTGGGAGGTGAAGAGGTAAAGTAAGCGGCGACCATGACAAGCAGAGAATGGAGACGCCCTGCAGGGCCAGGGAGCTGAAGAGCCTCATTCAAATACTGAGGTCTGTGTTCATGGCATTCCCTAGGATGGTGCAGTACACACATTACACAACTGTATTAGGTGGCTTTATGCCCGTCCACTTAGTCATTTACTTATCCAACGTTATTTGAGGGCTTATTCCATCCCCATCTCAATGTGTGAAGCTCTAGCCGCAAAGATATGCCCCCCCCACTCATGCTGCTCACATCAGAGCTGCCTTCAATAGAGCTGCCTGGGGACATGTACCATAGCAGGGAGTGATGGATCATCGTGCCAACTCTGGAGAGACTGAAGCAGCAGACAGCAGGACAGGCTGCATGCCGGAGCTCCTGTTAACCCCATCCTGTCCCCTGCAAGGCCCTGCACCAGGCTCTGCAGAGTGGTGCAGAATCAAAAGCTGTGACTGGCACCTTCAGGAGCTCAGCCTCTTCAATGCCTAATCTAACCCGCATAGCCCTACGAGAAGGTGCTCCCACTCCCATTTCGCAGACACAGAAACCCAGGCACACCCCTGCCATTCAGACTGGAATTCAGGTCAGTTTAACCCAAGCCCATGAGCTCACCCAAGGTTTTCCAAACTTGCTGCATGATCAGAAACACCTGGAACATCTATTTAATATGTGGCTCCCAGACCCTTGGCCTGGAGATTCTGGTTCATTTAGTCTTAGTTGTGACTCTGAAAGTACATTTTTACCATAGGCCTTTGGTAATTCTTACCGTCAGAAAACCTCGAGGAACTGAGTGCTTGCATATTCAGACTATTGCAGAACCCATATCCCAAGGAGCTCACAGGACACGGTCAGGGCTTCCCACCTGGTGTATGGAATCAGGCCCTAAGGGATTGTGTCCAGGAACTGAGGCAGAATGGGCCTCATCAGTTCTACTGTCCCTGCCACTATCCTGGTGGGTCACAGTCACACAAATAAAAGTTTACTTCAGGCACTTGTTAAAATTCAGAATCCTAGGCACACCCACCTCCCTAGTTTTCCAGAACGGTGGCAGCACAAATTTCTGCTGTTCAAAGCCACCAAGTTTGTGGGAATTGGTGACAGCAGCTTCAGGGAACTACCATGCTTGGGATTCCTACTCAAAGAGTCGCCAAGGCTTCAGAAAGACAGCAGAGCCAGGGGAAGGCGGACGGCAGCGGGTTGTTTGTTTTTTGTTGTTTTATTATTTGTGTTCACTTTCATCATTGGCTTATTATGCTATTGATTTTACTGTCTGCTTACTCGAGAATAGTGTCTATTTATTATTATGGTCTGTGTTTTCATCTCCATCTCTGGACAGATAGCAAGAAGTTCTCCTTCCTGAGCATCACCTCCTACAGCTCCTTTGCCTTCCACAAGTTTTCAGTGGCCATTTACAACAGTGAGTGCCGCTGGCCCTTCCCGGTGGTGCTCCTGGTGGGGAAGGCCAGCCGGTGTTGGGCCACTGTGTGATGGCTTCTCTTCACAGTTTCTAACCTGAAGACAGTGGACCCGGCCAGATTCCCCACAAGGTACTGCTACTGCTTAAACAACCACACCAACGACTTATCAGGTGGGTGGAGCCGGCTGCAAGACTCAACCGCGTTTCCAATTTCCCTTGTGCCCTTTTAAACATATCCCCCGCCCTTTGTTGTAAGGTAGGAAAATACAGTGAGATCTTTTGTGTTTAAATATATTCACATTCATTGTCCCAGAAAGTTACTTGCTTGGTTTTACTGTAGAGGAATGGCTGTGTGTGCACAAAGGGGCAAAGACAAGGTTCACACAGCACCATCAGGGAACAGCGTGACCATCTGTCATCAGGAAGATGGGCTATGTGTGATCAAGCTTTGGAAAACAGCCACAGACAACCCACAGATGAGTGGGTGTGGCCAGATGTTTCCTCTGCATCGAAAAATGTCCCAGAAACTTTGAGTTAGAATAAGAAGGTGGCAGGGGCTGGGAATGTAGTTCCCTGGTAGGGCACTTGCCTTGCCTATGTGAAGCCCTGTGTTTGCTCCCTGGCACTCCAAGAAACAAAAAGAAGAGAAAAGGGAAAAAAATTACAAAGTGACACATAGAATACACTATTATTGATGAAAACATTGTACGTATCTGGACACCAGATCAGCAATTTCTGGAGTCTGTGGTTTGGAGTAGAGACTGCTATTAAATGGAGACTTGTTTTATCTTGATTTTTTTTTCATTAAGAGTGTATCCATGATCCTTATATTTACAGAATTTTGAAAAATAGAAGTAAAATTATTCCCACTACTTCATGCATTCAACAAATTCTTTATTGAGCACATACTATGACCCAGGCACTTTTGCAGGTGTTCAGGACCCCAAAGTAGACACAGCCCTGCTCTCCAGAGCTAAGAGGCGGGGACAGAGAGTAAGTGAATAATTTGGAAATGCACAGGACTGACTGTCTGACCATGAGGACAAAGAAGCAGGGGAAGGGCAAGAGAGCCATGGGGCAGAGCTGCTGCTGTGTGCAGGGTAGCAGGAGAATCTCCAAGGAAACAAGGGCCGATGGATGTTCAGGTGGTGGAGGGCAAAGGTCCAGTGTGTCTGGAGCAGGTGATCCAGGTCAAGAGTCATAGGGAATGAATCAATAGGCGAGGGTGGGGTGCAGAGGATGCTGCAGGTCGAGTGGGAGTTTATAGCCTGCTCAAGGATTTCCAAGTTTCCCTCTGAATATAAAGGAAGCTGTAGTCTTGAACAGAGCAGCAGCAAGTGGGAACTGCACCATAAGGAATTTGTCTGCTGAAGAAGAGATGGTGAAGGAATCAAGGACAGAAAGCTGCTAAAACCTTCTCTCCTTTCCCATTTAACCGAATATAAAATGCTTTCCATGGAATGACAAACTCTGGCAGGCATTAGCACTGGCTGTGCGATCTGTGAATATGAGCATTTCCTTAATGGTGGTTGGACTTTTGGGTGGATTTTAGGTTGTTCCCAATATAAACCATCCTGCACTGAACATCTCTGTGTATAAAGTTTCTCCCTGTTTCAGATTATTTTAGGAACGCAGACTCCCCAAAGTGGAATTTCTAAACCAACACTGAAAGTTTTAAAGATAATAATTATTAAGATTTACTATAATATCAGTACTCTGTGCCAGACCCTGCACAGAGTACTTAATATGTCTTATCTTATTAAACTCACCCTGCAAATTTCAAGAAACTACATAGAATAATGGGTTTCATTGTGGCATATTGGTACCTGCAAATAACATCCTTTGATGATATCCACCTACCCTACCCTGATACCGAAACTCAGTCCGTGTCTCCATTGCTGATCCAATAGTGAGGACAAGGTCTGGGAAAAAGGAAACAGTTCAGTGATTTGCTAACAAAGGAGAAACATCGGGCACTCCTGTCCCAGAGCTGTGATTCCCATTGTCAGGACACCCCGGGCTTTTAAAAGAGGAAAACAAGGGCCCGGGTCCACAAGTTATCAGCAGATATAATTGATCAGTGTCCATCAGGTGTCCACGGGGGAGCCCTTGCTCCTGGTCCCGGGATGGGGGCTTCTTTACTCTTGTGGGCAGGGACACTCTTCCATGCAGTGGGGGACATGATAGATGAGCCTGGATGGACAAGTGTTAGTTTGCTTTCACCCTGTGTTAGGGAAGGAAAGCAAAAACTGGCGCGAGTTTTAAAATAAGCCAGGTGGAGCAGCAAGGTGTGTATCGGAGCCCCATTAGTTGGTGCTTGCTGTTATTTCCTGAGCTACTGGAGCCCTGTTCTGGAAGTCATTGCCTGTGACTACCCCTTGAAGTGCTTCTCCTGTGTTTTCTTCTAGCAGTTTCCAAGTTTGGGGTCTTATGTCACCTTTCCTCTTCCGTGATAGTCTTCCTGGAGCTCTCATGTTTTAGTTCCCTCCTGGACCCCACAGTTAGGAAAAATGTGGCACTTGTCACTCTGAGTTGTCTTATGATCTCCTGTTACATCCATTTTCCTGCAAATGATCTGGTTTCTTCTCTATGGCTGAGAACGCACCACTGAGTATATAGACACCACATTTTCTTTATCCATTCGTCCATTGACAGTGTCCATGTTCCTTCTGCAACTTGGCTGCTGTGAACTGTGTTGCAATGGCTGTGGGAATGCAGTTATAGAGAGTCTGGGACTTTAATTCCTTCAGGTATGTGCTGAGGAGTAGCTGGATCATAGGATGGTTTTATTTTTAGTTTTCTGGGGAACCTCCATACTGATTTCTGTAGTAGCTGAACTAACTACACCTTGCTCCAGCAGTGTATATGGGTCCCTTTCCCCCATGTCCTTGCCAGCATGTGCATCGTTTATTGTATCTTGATGACAGCTCTTCTGACAGTTGAGATGGCATCTCAATGTAATTTTGATATGCATTTCCCTGATGGCTAAAGATGTAGAACTTTTTTTTCATATAATTATTGGCCATTTGTATTTCTTTTTTTGAGAAGTCTTTGCTCAGTTTGTTTGCCTACTTATATTCATTGGGTTGTTTGTTTTATTTTGTTTTTTGGTGTGAGGCTTTCTGAGTTCTTTGTGTATTTTGGATGTGAGTCCCCCGATCAGAAGAAGAACTGGCAAAGATTTTTCCCATTCTGCAGGGTCTCTCTTCACTGTGTGGTGCTGTGCAGAAGTTTTTAAATCCGATGCTGCCCCATTAGTTGGTGCTTGCTGTTATTTCCTGAGCTACTGGAGCCCTGTTCTGGAAGTCATTGCCTGTGACTACCCCTTGAAGTGCTTCTCCTGTGTTTTCTTCTAGCAGTTTCCAAGTTTGGGGTCTTATGTTTAGGTCTTCAGTCCATATTTAGTTGACTTTTGTGCAGTGAGAGATAGGATTTAATTTTAGTCACCTCCACATGGATGACCAGTGTCTAGCACTATTTGTTGAAGAGGCTATCTCCTTCCAATGACTTTGGCCCCTTTGTCAGGATTCAGATGGCTGTAGCTGCCTGGGTTCGTCCTGTGTCTTCTGTTCCATTCCACTGGTCAATGTGCCTGTTTCTGGGGCAGTGCCATGCTGCTTTTGTTACTGTAGTGTATTTGAAATCAGGCATTGTGATGTCTCTAGCATTGCTCTTTTGGTTCAAGGTTGTTTTGAATCTTTGGGATCTAACAAAATACATTTGAGAGGAAGAAAGTTCTTCATAATCATGTCTTTCTTACCATCTCATTAGCCTTGCAATTAAGGTTTATACTGGGTGAATCTTTATCCTGATGTGTGAAAGAAAGAAAGAAAATTTGAAGTCACACCTGCCTAGAGACAGTTTTAATTGTACTTCATGAACCAAAGCATACTTCCATAAACTTGAAATAATTATTTGAAAATAATTGATTGCTGTCTACTGATAAAATAGCATGTTGTGTTGCTGCTGTGTAAGCCACAGCGATTTCCCCAGGGTGTGAAAAGGAGCAATGAGCCTGACACTTCTCCCCCTCAGACAGCTGCCGTGAGGGCCTGTGCTCCTGGGCCAACACTGTGCCGTTGCTCAAAGCCTTCGGGGGGATGTCTCTCTGGATAATCTTCAGATTGGATCATTTTCTTTTTAGTATTCTCAACTCTAACATAGAGCCCTCCTTTGAAGGTAGATTCACATATTCTCTCTTTTCCCCCTCATATGAAATAGTTTAGATTTTCAACATACTATGATGTCAAGATGTCATGCAACGTGGACAAATGTAACCAAGAAACCAGGAGTAGCTGAAAGCACAACATCCGTAGGTGGTCACTATTAACATTCTGATGGACTCTCTCTAAGGCTACCTAATCTATCTGCCTAACCACCTTCTACCAGTCATCTAACATGCTTATGCATTCCAAATACCTACCCATCTATCAAGCCATTCCACCCTATATATAGGAACCCACTCTCTGCATTATTTAGAATACAGGCTGGGCTACTACAACAAATGGCCCCCAAATAGGGTGGCATAAAGAAGCAATAGAGAATTGCCTTCATGCATGACCATGTGAGTGGGCATGCCAGAGCTGCACTGGTCATTTGATGATTGTGGCCCAGGTCCTTCTAGCTTGTTGTTCTGCCTCCCAAATGATACTGTCCTTGTCAAAGTGCAAGGTGGCTGTGGCTACCCCACCCTCCAGTTAAAAGGATGGGGAGAGATGTGTTGGAAGGCAGTACTATTTGTGCATAGCATAGACATGTTTTAAATTTCCTCTCTCTCACTTTATATTGCCCAGAATTTAGTGCCATGACCACACCCACCTGCAAAGCAAGTTTGAAAGTGTAGTCATTACACTAACCCAGTATTTCTCCAGCTGAAATTGGATGTTCTCCTACTAAAAGAATTTGGGAGAGGATTTCTTTAAAACAACTCCATTTTCAAGATGTATGTGTTCCTCACCTTGTATGAATTCATGGTATTCATGGAAAGAAGTTACATAATTTACTTAATTTATCTCCTCTTGATATAAACTGCTGATTCCTGATATTTTTACAATTTTAAGCAATGCCATAACGCACCTGGGTAGACTCGCTGGACTATTTGCCCAATTATCCCTGTAGGAGATAGCCCTTGAAACCGAGTTGTTGGCTGACAGGGAAACAATTTTGTGGTGATCTAAATTGCTGAAATTTCTTCTAGAAATCGAGCATAAGTTTACACTCTTATCTACAATATTTCAATGCATAATTTTTCCAAACCCATGCCACCTTGAGTATTAAGAAACAGTCTTAAATGATTACCAATTGGATAGATAAAAAGGATTTTTACCTACCTCCTATTTATACATGAATGAGGTCAGAAATAATTTCTCTGTGAGCATTTTTAGTAAATTAGATAATAAAATTTTCATTAAAACAAAGAAGATTTTGGAAGTACTAATAACAGTTTCTCCTCCAAGCTGCTAATAGAGAGTGGAAGGGATTCTAAAGGGGAAGTTGGCTGAGGAGTTGAGTAAGAGGCTGTATGAATGAAGGTGGGAATACAGGGAAGAGGGGAAGCTCTGGCCCAAGGCAGACCTCAGCTAAAATTCAGGCTTTGCCACATACTGTCAGATCTTGGGAAATCTCATCTTCCCTCTGAGCCTTGGGAAGAACATGGCCCCATCATTGGTGTCTGGCTCCAGAGCCGTGCACACAGCTTCTGTGCATTATTCTTAGTGCATCCCAACCTTGCACATCACTGTCCTCTTTCTGAGTCTGTTTCACTCTAACTTCAGCTTTTTCTGTATGTTTTACAAAACTCTTCAGTACCTAGCAGGTGCTTGACACACTGCAAAGACTCAATGAGCATTTATTAAATAAATGAATTGATAAACAAAGAAGAATTTTGAGAAATAGATGGAGTAAGTAATGAGATACTTAGCCTTCTTTAGTTTCTGCATAGATGTAGAAAGGAGGATGCCCAGGTTTACCAACTTGCTGCATGGACAGGTGTCTACATCTGCATAGGTTCATTACCACCTTTTGCTCCAGGAAACTAAGCATGTGGATGTAGTAGAATATGTCCTGGCTCTGGCTCCCACATAGGGATGCCCACTTCCTCTTGGTGCACAAACAAACCATGGATTGTCATGTGACATTTTCTTGAATATATGAGTTTTGTGTTTTCTAGTCAACTTGCTCCTGTCCAAACTCATAATCCTATTACTTAGTGAAAACACTTTTGTGCAAGGTTGGGTAGGAAATCATGCTTCACCCAAGAAACTTCCTCTAGAAAATCACTGTCTGAAGCTCCTATAGCAGGACTTTCTCATTTAAAGTGCCAACATGTTGGGTCCTGGAAAGCTATGAATGAATGGAGGTGGCAGCTGTTTAACAAGGAGCATGGTAAGAAGTTTTATTGACCAATGGTGCCAAATGCCAACCAATGCTCCTGTCCAAATCTTGCCCAGACAAAAAGTTCTCAATGATTCTATTACCTGGATTATTGTGAAAATCTCCCAGTCTACCCCCATCTTCCCTCTTAGCCAAGTGGACAGAAGGAGAGGCTCTTTATAAAGGATACTTATAAAGCACTTCATCTCTGTTGACAACCTGGGGTTTGTAACCCCACCACTAAGTTTGATATTGAATATTCAAATTCTAAAATTATGGAAATCTGCACTACATATCTATAGGTCTGCTTCACATCAGAAGGATTGGATACTCTGAAACAATTAGATGAAATAATGAGGGAAAACCCAGAAAACCATTATTCTATGATGTAGCCTTTCATATCTCTTTGCTGCTAGCAGAGAAACGGGTGGAAAGAGGGCAATGGAAGGAGAAAGGGGATTATAACAAAATTTTAACAAAGTTTTCTGCTTGTATGTAATTGACCCTTTATGGATTTCTTCATGATTAGTAATTTCTCTCTCTATGATTATTAATATTACTTAGTACATTGAATAAATCAAACTTGTAAAATCTATTCTGAAAAATCCAAATACACTCTATTTTCCCCTAAATCTCTGAATGATAAATTTAAGCCTCCTAAACCCATTTTGCAGATTTCACAGCCCTCCTTGTGGACATCATTGGAAATTCTACCAGCTACCTCACTGAGATCTTTAAGTCAACCTCCATCCTCTCAGGTGGGTTTATTTGATGGTTCCTGGCAAGCACAAGGTTGGCACCCATCCCTGGGGCATAACCAGGCCTCTCAGGTCTCCCGTGCTCCCCTGCCATGGGTCGGGCTGCTGTGAACCTTCATGTGAGCCTCACTGAGATCATCCTCACGTTCCAATTTCTGATACCAGCACTGGGCAGCTCCTTCTTCAATCAGAGCTGTTCTTGGGGCCCAGAAATTGGAAAACAAATTCAAGGCTCAAAGTTAGGAGAATCTCGGCAGATTCCAGAAAACAGCTTCTGGTTGACATCTGTCCTCCACTTTCAAAGATGAGAAAAAGCTGAGACCCAAGGAGGTTGAATATCTTGCTTAATGTTGATGCCAGAATTCAGATTTAGATCCACATGGAGCCTAAGTCCATGTTTTAAAAGCAATTAAGAAATACATGCCTCATTTATGAGGTGGCTTCATGAATCCCCCAAGCAAATCACACTCCACTGGAATCCACTTTGAAAGGCACAGATCTGGATGTCAGCCCAGCAGCTGGTCTCAGCAGCCTGGTGATATGGTGATCTACGGGGCAGCTACAGCTGTGCAGGCAAGAGGGAGGGAAAAGGGGAAATCTCAGTAGATGTCATTAGGTGCCAGCGGCTCTCCCAGCACCTTCTAGATCCCCTCTCACTGGATTCTCACTACAACCTCATGGGGTAGCTACTGCGTTTAGCCCCACTTTATATACAAGGAAACTGTGCTGTGGCATAGAGAGGCTGAGCAGTTTACCTAGGATCACTCTATGGAGACAGAATTCTACCCAGGCAATCTGGCTCTTGACCTGTGTTTTGGTCACTATGCTGTTGCACATGATGCTAGTAACACATCAACACAGCTGTAGTCCTCACCCTGGCTAAGGACAAGCCTCCTCTCTCTGCCAGGCACCATAGTCAGGACTTCACACATCACCTCGTTGGGTCTTCACAACAATCCTCTAAGCAGCATGCAACCACATGTCCTCTGTCTCTTAAGCAGCATCCCCAGGAACAAGTATACTTAGGAATTCAGAAGTTTTCAGATTTTGAAGGTCTAATGGAGAGTCTACACCATACTGATACATAATACCTCTATCCAGGAAAGCCTGTGGTGATCAAACACATCACTATTCATTCAGCAAAATGTTTGACCCTTGCACTAAGTGGAATAGGTAAAGACTATACAATCTCACTTTTGTCAAGTCAGGTTTTAACCATCAAGGTCATACAAAACTTTCCACCTTACGAGATCTGGGGATTGGGGAATTACAAAAAACAAGATTATGGAATTTGAATTTTTTCCCTTGTAAAGGTGAGTGAACTGAGTCCTGGAGAAGTCAAGAAGTTCAGTCATTTGTAGAGTGCATAGCTAGTAAGTGGCCGAGTTGATACTGTAGCCCTGGAAATTGACCCCCTGCCACCCAACTGTGCTCTTAGCCACTACATTGTACTGTACCATCTCCTGCCTCCTCAGCCCCACCAAACAAACAAACAAAAGTAAATCAGAAAATCAGAGCTGCCTTATAAGGAGTTAGTTTTACTCCCCTATCTTGTCCTGAGCTAGGTACTTCCAGTTCAAATTTTATTTCAACCAGAAGTACAGCTGCAGACCCCTTGCTGACCTGTCCTGTGCTGGTTCATTTTACAGTGAGTCAGACCAATGAATCTGACTGCCTCTTCATCTGCGTCATGGCCGGAGAGTCAGGTGAGCCGAGGTGCCCTTGCCAGCTCTCTGGACTGGGCAATAAGCACAGGTCTCCAGGGGACCAGCCCACGATTTCCTCCTGTGGGTGTGACCTTTGCAGGGCGGAATCTCTCTGACTTCTGGGAGATGGTGGAGAAATCCCCTGTGATCAACTACACGTTTACCAGCAGCCTCTCTGGAGTTCTGGGTGAGTACACCCGCAAATGCCTACCGTGGAGAACAATGCAGTCCTGGGGCATTTTATTTAGCTCCTGTGTTAAAAATCAGAGGATTTCACCACTGAAAATAATTTTCTGGAATATGTTGCAAAAGACTTTCTGGCAGCTGTGGATTCTTCTTCCCACGGCAAAAAGCAACCAGAGCTGAGTGGCAGCTGTACCTATTCCCCTTTAGGAGTGGACTGTTCTCCCATTTCCCAGAGTTCTCTCTGCCCTCTATTGCCTTGCACAAGTTTTCTTACATTAACTATTTGGCTTTTATAGATGTTTTAGTTTGGGGCCCAGTCCTAGAGACATTGCCACTCTCTAATGCACATCCTCCAGCCACCCATCCTCTGCACCCCCACGTGACCACCTTCCTGCCCATTCCCTGTCACCAGGTGGCACTTTTGGAACCGGTTTAAGTCTCCTCTCTCCCCTCCATGTAACTGGCATTGCTAGCTGAATGAAGTGCCTGAAACCTCCCCAGGCCTCTGAGATTCCCTGCTGTTGCTTGAGAATCTGGGCTCAAGTCCTCGTCGTCTACCTTCGAACTGGAAGAGCCTCTGAACAAGTGCTCCTTGTCATATCCCCTGTGTCTCTAAATATCCATTCACTGCCAAGGGCAATGGTCTTCCAACACAACGTGGGTGAGGTCCCCTCGATACTCAGAACTCCAGTCAGCCCCAGAGGGTCCAAGTCCTTAGCCTGGAGAAGCATCCTCTGCCCTCATGCCCACCCTCGTCTCCTCCTCCCTTTCCCATAAGTCCTCTGCTACCACCCATTGGAACCCCTGCCCTTCTTGCAGGCGGCGAGCAGCTCATGCCTTCTGTGCCTTTGGCTCAGGCTGCGATCTGTCACAGCTCCTCCCTATTTCACCATGCTGTAGACCCTGTGTGCCTGTCAACTGCCAGCACTTGCCTCCTCTTGCCCAAGGATCCCCAGTCAAAATCAGTCTTCTGCATCCTGTGGCCCTAGAACACCATTCTGCACATCTTCTGGACTGATACACCAGGTGCCATCACGGTGGCATTGACAGGTGTGCCTCCTCCATGGTGACACTCCAGGGCAGAGAGAGTCTCCTTTGTCTGCCTTCCCCCTCTATTCCTCGCAGAGATGCTTGCACATAGCAGGTCCTTCATCAGTGTCTCGCGGAGTCAAATGAAGGACCCAGCAATTCAGTTCCCCAATTCTATTTCAGTGGGTTACTGTGACTTGTGTTTATCATGGGGCATCTCTTGATTATCCTGTGGAGGGGCTTCATTTGTTAATGGGACAAAGACACTTGGTAGAAGTTAAAATGGACATTTAGTGAGTTGCCTTTACCCACCCAATTCTGAGGACAGATCAGAGGATTGAGTGAATCTCATTTATTCAGTCTTTCCATGACCTTCCCACCCCCAATCTCAATGATGTCTCCCCTTTGGTGTTACTTTAAGGACATGTGCCCAGGAAGAAGGAACATACTTACAACTGGACACTAAGGTTGATGTGCCTGGTGGCTGTTGGTCTGTCCAGGTGATAGTTTGGCTGGGGTGCACTTAGCCCATGTCCAACATGCAACAAGGCTTAGGCTGGGTTGCCTGTGGGGTGTCTGTGGGCCCTGAGCCAAGGACATGAGACTGCAGGCGTAACTCCTGCTGTTGGGTCAGTTGTTCCCTACACACAGCTGCCTGCCAAAGGGACAAGTGGGGACCAAAATCCAACACGAGTCTTTGTCCACCCAGAGCAGGTGACTCTACAGGCCAGTGGGAGTCACTGGCCTATATGCCCATCCCAGGCCATATGCCCACTTGCACCAGCAAGCCTTCCTAGGGAGGTCAGGTGAAATTAACACCACAGGCTCTTTCACCTTTTCCTCATGGGACAAACAGAAGCACGGAGTAAATTTCTCTCCAAAATCTGCCTTTTGGGGGGCTCATTTTTCTATTAAAGTCTATCTTTTGGAGGGCTCATTTTTCCAGCTATTTCTCCCTGAAAGCCCCTGATTTTCCCAAATTCCACCTCTGGTTCCTAGTTATACGCACAGAGCATGTCAAGGAGACCAATTCCTCATCCAGGACAAGTCCTGGAGCCACGGGGTAACTGAGGACACTGAACAGATTTGGCATCTGATCAAGAGACAGGTTAAATGTCAAGACCTTTGTGGTCTGAGGCGTGTGCACTGCAGTGATTCATCATTCAGCTTTTTTGGAGACTGACCTTTCACGTGGTACTGTTGGGAATGAGTTTGAGATCTTTATTCTTTCTACATATCTGCTATCTGATGATCTTTCAGTGATTCAGCAATTCTTTGTGTCCAAAGTATCAAAGTTATCAAAGCTGCCATTGACCTTCTTCCCAAAGGTGCTGCTGCTACCAGGGAAACAGCTGGGATTTCAAAGCCCACAACCCAAAGCCAGCAAGCCCTACCAAGGACAGGCCCCCCGCGCTGGGCCCACAGCACACACCTGGCTTCTGCCCTGAGCGCCTCCCCGCCCAGGGAGACAACTGCTCCTTCAGAGGGAGAGGCAACAGGGAGCACAGGCAGGCTTCCTGGGCCTCCTGCAGGGACCACGGCCACAGCCAGCAGGGCCTCTGCCACCCATCCAGGCTCAGGTAAGATGTGATCTCACCCTGTGCTCTGCTTTGCTGAGTCTCCGTCCGGGTCCCTCCAGGCTCACAGGAATGAGCCACACCTTTGTCCCAGTCTGCCCCCTGACACCAGGCTCCAGCTTACTTTAAATAAGAGATGTCTATGAGCCAGTGGAGGGCCCATGAGGACAAGCAGAGGCAGCCATGTCAGTGGCCCAGTGGACCACTAACATGGACGCTTCTACAAGAAGTTGCGAAAAAATTCCACGAGTTTCCTGACACCCTTCACCCAGCCTCCCCAGGGCCATGTCTCCCGCGCTCGTGGCTCACTGTGGCACAGCGTTATCACTTCAGCCCAGCACCTAGTGCTCTCTCTGGCAAGTCACAGAAAGTGAAACGAGTCAGCATCTTATGCCATGGTGGGTCAATCTGCCACTGGCTGCACAACACGTTAGTGACCGCACAGCAGCATGGAAAGCTGCTCCCAGGGGCTCGCCAGGACCCTGCCCTCCCCACCTATGGAGCACACAGTCAGCAGTGTTGTCACCGGCCACTCAAAGTGCCTGCTTCCCCATCATGTCCTACTTGGAAATAATTCCAAGCTGAGTCTTCTCTTTCATTAAGAGTCACTGTTGTCTGTCCACCAATGGCCCGAGCCCTCAGCATCCACTCACTCCCTCATCAAAACACGCATCTGCTTCCAGACATAGGTCAAGTGTTGACAGAGGCTCTACTGGTGTTCCTGCTCCTCCCTGAGATCCCAGGCCGGGGAGGGAGACACGGGCAGGGAAATGACAGTCACCAGGCCAGTGAGGGTGTGCCACCACCCCGCACAGCAGGAGACACGGGCTGCCCAGGGAGGTGGAAGGACAGGTGGCAGGCAGATAAGGAAACAGGGAGGACTGGAGGTGGAGAGGAGAAGGAACCAACCCCACCAACTAGATAGTGTCTAGATTTACTGTAAACGGTTCATGCAATACCTGGCATCATCATGACAATGACTCCAAATTAGAAGTGTTTCCAGTATAATATGAAAAATTTTGGTTCTAGAGGCAAGAAAAGTCATAATCCTTAAAGAAAACGTGCTGGCTTTATATAAGAAAAACTACAAACTTTAATGAAAGTAATAAAGAGATATTTAAATACATGGAGGGATGTCCCATATTCCAGGTGGAAATCTGAATATTTCAAAGATGGTATCTGTTCCCAACTTAACTCATAGATGTCAAATTCTTTAATAAGATTAGTTTTGTATAACTGGAAAGAAAAATCTTGAATTTTTACCATAGGAATGAGCATATGAGAACATCTAACAATTTTTTAAAAGGTCGGTTAGGGAAGATTTGTATGAACAAATCTAATAATGATCCTGTGATGTTGTGGACAGGAATTATGACCACGATTGTTATTGTTATTATTATTCTCATCCCCATAATAAAGATAAGGCTAAAGAGTTAAGGAAGTTACCCCAATTCACAGCCTGGAGGAGGCAGGGGCTCAACCTTGCCTCCAGGTCTCTTCCCCTCAAGTCCTTCAGTCTCTCACCAGGTCACAGGATGAGAAATAAGCTCCTTAAACTTGAGACAGCCACTGACCCTCAAACACACCCTTGCTGGCTGAGTGCCCAGGGACCTGGAGGAGTTCTCTTTATCTTCTGCTTGGGCAAACAAAGTTCCCTCTGGTCCATGGGCTTCAGCGCAGGGTGCAGGACTCCTAGAATGTCCATGTTATGCCCACGCCCTGTGTTTGCCCTCTGATAGCAACCCCATGCCTCTGCAATTTTATATAAATCAAAGAGGTCGAATGCAGCCATCTCCTGTGACAGTCACTTTAAATGTGCAGCTACCAGGACAGTGGCTGGAACACAATGGGTGACAACCAACAGACAGACCTGGGCTTCCACGCTCTCCACACCCAGGGCTCATACCAAGGATGAGACAACACCTGGGGGTCCCCCCTGGGAGACACCCTCCTCCACACCCACATCTGCCGAAGCTGCAGGGGCCACCGACACAGAGAGCCTCCCGGGTCCTACTGGGGCAATGTCCACACCCAGCAGCCCAGCCCAGCCCAGCTCCACCTCAGGTAAGAGAGAGACTCACTCCACCCCTCCCCTTTCCAGTGACACTCAGCATTGTCTGTCTTGAAAACCTTTTTAAATTTTTGAACTATAATACATAGAGAAAAAGTCAAACCCAAGGGAGCAATACTTGGTTTGACCATGAGGCCGACTCTTCTTTCTCCTTCTTCTCCTTACCCCACCCTTTCCTTCTCATCTTTGAATGAATGAATGAATGCTCCCTCTTCATGGGGATCCCCCTCTCCTCTCTCTTTTATGTAAACTCACTTTCTATTTTTTTTCTTGTTTCACTACTAAACAAGTAACCACTAGAAATTGACACTGTTCACTCAGGACAGGGATGAACTGACTTTTTGGCATAATATGATCATTATTACATTAATTACTTATATATCATGTATATGCAATGTAATGTAACATGCCTATTAATTGCATATGTAAATGTATGCATTAATGTATAATCATGTAATGAGGAACACTTGAACTCTAAAATGCAGGAGAAACATTGTCAAGTGTGACAGTGTAGTGTAGATGTGTAATAAGTAGACACAGAGAATAGAAAGCAAAACTAAAACTAAAAAGAAATTCACAACTTGTTAACCTTGAGCCTAACTTTAGTGTTCCCAGATTATAGCTGGGAAGGAGAGTCCCTCTGATTTCTGTTTCCTTCACTCCAGTTTCATGAATTTTCCATTCTTTATACTCCTATAGTCAGACAAAAAGTAATTCCCTTAAAGATAACTGCCTCTGCTGCTTGCAGCACGGCTGAGAGCCCCCCCCCCCCAGCTCCCACAGTCAGTGGATCATAACACACATGGAGGCTATGATCCCGGGGTCCATCAGCTTGACTTTCCTCCCTCTGGGCTCTGCCTCCTGGGGGGCTGTGAAGGCTCCTGTGAAGTGCAACAGCCACTCAGTCAGTTTGTAAAACTACTGAATTTGTGAAGGAATGCAGGAAGAGGAGTAATGAATTTTCAATATCTCAACTTCAAGCTCAAAATCACAATTGCACTCACAGGTTGAGAGATGCCCTTTCAATGGCTTTAATCTTATGACCACCTGACACCAGGGCACCATCTTAGTCGGTTCAAGCATTGTGCTATTTCAGGGGAAATTGGAAGCTGACACACTCTGGTCTAGTCAGCTGGACGTGGTGCTGTGGAGCTCTGTGCTAGGCTCTCAGCTTCAGACGGCCTGGGCTGGAGTGGACCTCACACTCACACTGTGTCCTGGCACCTTCCTTCACCCATCTGAGTCCTTGTTCCCCACTGATGAAATGGGAGCTGTAAGAGCTGTTGTGTTGGTTCAATTAAGTAATATCTGCAGGGTGTTCAGTTCAGTGAATGTCACCTGGGAAGCACTCAGTGGATGCCACTGTTCTGCCTGAGCCCTCCTGCAGCAGGGCACTGAGGGCAGCTATAGGAGACACAAGCCCTCCAGAGGGGAATATGTGTTTGTGTTTGCTTCTGCCCCAGGTCCACTTTACTCCAATTCTCCACGATTCTGCAACCAGTCAGTCACACTGCAAGCAGCCATCGTATGTGGTATAGCTAAGACTAATCTAGAACTACATAGAAGCACATCCAGGCAGCTAACAGACACCCTCTGTGTTAGGGGTTACAGTCTGATGCCTACACAAAATCAGGAGCAGATTCTCACCCACCTTAGAAACTGGCAGGATGGCCCTGTAGAGTTGGGGCTCCTTCCCGCAATCATCTGTGTGTGAATGGATCACAGCACTCATCTCTGGCATGAACACAGTCCTGTGGAATCCCACCCTGAAGTGTTCTGTCCTTGCCAAGGAGCATGACACAGCAGAGTAGCTGTGCCACTCTGTGGTAAGAGCTGGGCTCCGCGTCTGCCTGCTTCATAGCCTCATCTCCCCTCCACCTCCTCCCTCTGGATCAGCCACAGAGAACTGCTTGCTACCCACTCCTGGAGGTCTTTGCACAAGCTCCCTACTCTACCGGGGAAGCCTGTGCTTTCATTAGCCTTGTACCCGTGGTCTTGGTCCACGTCACCTGCCCCAGCTGAACTGGGTGCCCGCTGACTGTGCTGGAACCTCCCCCTTCTTTCCCCTTCATGCATGAGTGAAATTTCCTGTTGCATCTTCCTTTTGCCTCAGAAGGAGGCTGCTGTGCTTCTTGTGCCAGAGGCCAGCTCCAGGCAGCAAGAACCAGGTCCTGTAGCAGTCCTTAAACCAAGGACATGATGAAAAGAACTGTTGAACTGAGCCCATGCTCCACCATGACAATGATTGACAGGCAGTTTATTGGGGTGCGGATGGAGTACGCCAAGGCGCAGGTGAATGAGAAGCGTACCATTTCCTGTTTGCCCAGAGCTCCCACGCTTGCACACTTCCTGTTCAACACCATCATTCCCCAAGCAGTGTCACCTGATCTTACCACTATTAACTTGTTCCCAAGGGCTTCCATCACACGGTACCACAGTTACTGGCAGCACTTGCCTGTTCCCTTGTAATTATCTGGAGCACCGCCATTGAGGGTTCCATTTCTTGACTCACTTCTGCAGCCTCAACATCCTGCTTGGTACCTGGCTTAATAACCAGTGTTGGTTGGATAGGGCAGGACTGGTGGCATGGGGCATCTTCTCCAAATCAGGTCCCCTTGAAAAGATGCAGGCTCACCCTCTCTCCTCTCATCCCAGGAACAGTCACCCCTGGCACACAGACGCCAAGGCCAACCAAGGCACCAGCCCCCAAAGACCCACAGACAGGTGAGAACACACAGGTGGGAAAAGAAACCCGGTACCACGGCGGGGAAGAACTGCATGGGGCAGAACCCCAGGGATAGGGTGCCAGTACTCAGAGGATGCTGGTTATTGTACTTCACTGGTTCTCACAGGAAAGAGGCAGGAGAACTGGTTTGTAAGTCTTGCGTGCTGCTAAGTTGCCAGGTGATCCTGAATAAATCACTTCCCCTTGGCTATGATTTTCTGTGGGTTTCCAGAACTCTTTATCCTGAAGGGACTTTGATTCTCTGGTTGTGGTATAACCCAAGGCAACTTCGTTTTCATTTTTGGAAGACTATTCTTGCCCCTTGCAGGTGATGTTCCTGCAGAGTGGCCATTTGCTCCTGGAGAAGAACCAGCCCTAATCCCAGTACCCCATCAAGTCTCAAGTGAGTAGCAGCACCCCCTGATTGCTAGGCTTGTGTTTCTTTCAGACAGGGTTGTGAAGTATAATAAAAGGAGGTTTGTTGGATAAATTTAGACCTAGAGTGCTGGCATTCAAACCCAAGCTCAACTTCCAGGATTCAGTTTCCTCCACTATATAGCATAAAAAAAGTTCCAATTATTGTGTCTGGTTTTTCTTTCCTACAAGATTTTGCATTGAGATAATGTGTGTGACAGTGTATTGGAACCCTAGAGTGCTGAGTGACTTAGGTTAGTTAACAGTCTTTGAGGGAATATCAAAGGTACCAGTGAGCTGGGTACCTTGCAAAGGGAAGGTGCTCTTAATAAGTGTGGTGTTGACAGAGAGGGCAGTGCCATTCACTGGGTGGCCATTTACTTCTCTGTTCTGAAGGACACCCTGCCCACTCCCCCACCCCCACCCCCAGCGTACTTGGTTCTCATGGGGTGAGGAAAGAACTGTTTGCTGGGCCTGAAGTAGTTTCCAGAATTCCCAAAGACTGATTTTCAGTGGTTTTGCTGATTCTTCCAGCTTTTGCTAGACGTCTCCTCTCCTCTGTTGTGCTGGTTTCTGGGAGAAACTGGTATAGAATGAGCCCTTGAAAGCTGGATGGATCAGGTGCCTCTCACTCCCAGATACCTTTCTACCCTAGTTCTGCAAGCATTCTGGCACCCTTCACTTGTATGTCAACAGAAGGCCATTAAATCATTGGGACCTGAATAGTCTCTTTTTCCTATCACCCCAGCTCTGCCTCAGTCCCTCCTACCTGCAATGAATGGTGAATGGGCCTTTCAGACAAAGGTGTGATTGCCACCACAGGAAATGACCTCCCCTTCCCCCAGGAGTTCTAAAGAAGCTCACTGGTGGTGCAGACAGGGCTGCTCATCAGGTCAAGTTCTAGGACACAAGCCGCCTCTATATCCATGTCTGTGTGTGGAACCACATAGCAATCTCTACGTGGCCACCCATCTACCCCTCCACTCACCCACCCACCCGTCCCTCAGTAGTCATCTATCTGTATCCAGTAATTTCTGAATTATCTATATTCAGCAATTTTCTATATATGAGCTATATATCTGATCGATATCACTCTATCCATCATTTATCCATCTATCTATATCCATTCATCTAAAAAAATCTGTTTTCTTATCCTGTTATTATTTGACTCCTTATAAAAGCCACATATTAAGTAACAATGAAAACCTGGATCACTGAACATAATTAATCTTCAGCCTCTGGAGGAAGAGAACTCACGACCCAGAGCCCTGTTCTTGGGGACCCAGGTTGCCTCATTCAGCCTGGCTTTTCGTCCTCCTTGCACACCGGCAGGCACAGGTACACACACCCTAAGCCCCCGCCCTCAAACGACTCTCCATCTCCCCTGGGCAAGCCGCCCCCTTACCCATGCTCAACATCATGGACCCCATCGCCTGCCCAGGAATGCCCTCCCTCTGATGCATGTCTATTAAACATTTGCTCCTCAGCTAAACCCTCTCTGATCTCCTCCAGGAGGTCGGTCACCACCTTCTCTCTGCCTATACCTTGATATTTCACAGTAGCTTTACTGGGCGGTGAAGCTGTACCGTGGTTACTGCCTGTCTCTGAGCCACAGGAGATCAGGGCAGGATTGGGTTCTCCTGACACAGGTCCCCACCAGGGGAAGGTGCTGGCTAAACTCTTGTTGACTTGACTGGTCTGAAATTCATCTTCTAGGGTGTCCTCAACCGCTCCTCAAAGAGGGGGCCGTGACGGCTGCCCCTCTCACCCTGGCCACCCAGAAGCTCAATCCTTGCCTGATGGAATTGTGCCGCTTCTTCCAGCAATGCCTCTGTGTGAGCCAGAGGAACCCCAGGACAGAGAGCATGAGGTAACCAGTGGCTTCTTTACATATTTAATATTTATAAGCTGCTTATTCTGTGTGGCTTCTCTGCAGGCCACAAGGTAGCCAGGCATTAACTAACCCAAAGACCGGTGACGAGGGGACCTCAAGGAATGGGATCTTTTATGTGTCCTCTACTAGACTGTCACTTCCTTGGGAGCCATGATGGAACCTCATTAATTTATGGGTCCCCATAACGAGGCCCAAGGCTGGACAGATTCAGGGCTGTACTTATTGGACAGAGTAAGTGCACGTGAGCTGAGCTGGATTGAGCTGGGTCGAGATGAGCTGGGCTGGGCTGAGGTGAGCTGAGGGAGGTGCCTGTACCCAGCAGCATTACCACTGAGGACTTTGAGTGGTCCTTGAACCCCAGTGTTCTCAGCCTGAGGAAACTTTCTAGGACAGAGTAACCAAAGCACAGGTCTATCTATCCACTCCCACAAATCCCTAGCAGTCACCTGCCAGTGGAAATAGAAGCTTGTAAAAATAAAATTAGAATTCAAACTACATTTTAAGTTAAGTAGGTTCAGGCATGGACACTTCCCTGCCCTTCAATACTGACCTACTGTCCTGTCATTTGGGACTTATTTTTGACTATACATTCAGAACCAATCACAGAGATGGATACTCCTTCTCCAGGGGCCTGGGAACCAGCTTCTCGGATCTTTGATGTCATGTTCCCAGTCTGCTCACAAGATCCTGCAGGTTCTCAGATCTCTGCTAGGACCCAGTCCCAAGTCCAGGTGTTTAGTCTTTTCCCGTCACCCCTTTCTGGCCTTGAACTTGGATCCCTCGTTGGTTGGCTGCTTCCTCCATCCAGAGAAAGTAATGAGGAAGACCCAGAGACTCAAGGGTGGGAGTGTGCGAGGCTGGGCACTTCTCCACAGCCAAGGCCAAGCCTCAGGAAGAGGGAAGCTACAAAGCAGAGCATTCTGCATCACCTGGGATCGGCTCCCTATTGGGTCCTTCTCAGTTGCTCTTTCTAAATCAATAATGCATTTTGCATCTCTACAATGTACCCACTGTGCACTGGGCTAAGCCCAGGCTATGGTGGTGGGTCAGAAATAGGCCCAGAACCTGAAGATCGCATAGTCAAGAGGAAGAAATGGTCATAAACACAAATTGCAAGATAGTTGGTGTAGAACCAAGTCATGTGTCCAAGCAAAACCCTGCAGTCATATCTCCTCGGAAAACATCACACTTGAAAGAACAGGTGGGGAAGTCAGAAGTTTTGAGTTTAAACTCACAGCAATGAAGCCACTGTTAACCTGAGCTCTTCCCTCTTTTCCCTGAAGTGTGAGTTGTTCCATAGACCCGCATGGAGTTCGGAATGTGGGACAAGAACACCACGTGGCAGATCGAGGGGTGTCAATCAGTATGTTTGCACAATAAGAGCCTCTGAGATTAAGAAACAGCACGACTTGGTGAGGAAGTTGGCAATAGAAAGAGACAAGTTCCACACCAGAGTGACAAGTGCGTGGCAGACCCTGAATCACATGCCGGGGAGCCCCGAGGAGATAAGTGACAGGGTTCGATGGAGGAGTAGGAGTTTTCCAGGCCCCAAAATGGGAGAGGCCACTAGAAGGAAAATGCATGGGCTGTGGGAAGATGGGGTGGAAGGCAGCGGGGCCCCCTGGGGGCACTGGGGTGATCAACAGCGCTGCAGCAGCAATGGCAGCCGCTGTGTCCCACATCCTCCACTCAGGTGGCCTTTCACTAACAAGTTTCCTTTGCCTGTCACAGAGCTCCAGATGCCCCTCCACACTTCCCATTGTCCACCATCCAGAAACATACAGAACATCCAAACACACAGAACATCTAACGCAAAACGGGCCGAGGTTCAAGTGCAGCCCTTCATTCTGTCCATCCTTGAACTCTGGTTCCCTAAACGTCCCTCCTCCCACATTGTCTCCCTTTCCTAGTCCTCTTTTGAAATGTTTCCTATTTAGAGTCCCTAGCACCTTCCTTGGGACACACTGTTCCCCTTCGAGGGTGACAAAGCCCCGGTTCCTTTCCCTCCTGATGCCTATGAACTCTGGTGCCTTGGGTGCCAGGCGGGATTCTGGGGCTCCTGCCCTTTCCAGACTGCTGCACCTCCACATGGAGCCAGGGTCTGGTCTGATGTGAGGAAGTGTATACAGCAGGGGCTTCAACACGGTCCCGGCTTGTTCTGCTCCTGGCAATGCCGCTGGAGGACTCCTCCACAGCTGGCTTTCTTGGAAGAACGTCCAGCCTTTTCTACGTGAGAAATGCTGCTCTAGCCTCCGTGAGGAGCACAGATCTTGTCATGAAGGCAACGCTGACCTCATTCTTTATGCAGCAATAGCCACTATATTTATCTATTGTTCCCATTTCCTATTTCCTTGTTTGCTTACTGGGGGATGCTTTATTGGCTCTGTGTCATGTCTAAATAATGCCAGGAAAGAAACCTCCATTCCTCTGCCAGCCACCTCCTCTGCCAAAGTGAACTAAGGCCTGGAACAGCAGCTTTGGGGCTTCTCAGAGAGGGCCATGTCTCTGCAGTCGTGACCACTGAAGTCCCCACCTGGTGGTGTGAAGCTTCAGGGACCCCCTCCGTCAGCCCCACACATAGTAGCATGGTTTCTAAAGCAGCTGCTCCCCAGGGTCATTGGGTGTCCTCAGTGTGGAGGGAGTTTTCTAGAGGGTTTTGCTGCTGTGCACATTGTCACACAAGCCAAGGGGGAGTGAGATGAGGCCAAAGAAATGCCCCAACGCTAGAAGCTTCCACACAGTTTTGTGTGCTGTGGGGAAGGTCAGGTTGAAGCCAGGAGGCCTGGTTTAAATTTACTTTCTACCACTTCTAAGTTATGTGGCCTTGGAATTGTCACTTAATTCCTCTGAACCTTGGCTTATCTTGTTTATCTGGGCCACGCTGCCTGTGTTCCACATGTCACACAAGTCCGAGGGCACCATTCATGGAGAAGGGCGGCAGCACTCTTGCCATACCAACCGAGTACTGTGAGAATGGAATGAAATGAAACGATGGCTCGAGCTGTCCCTGCCCAGCCCCTGGACGTAGCTGGCGTGGATGTGGCCGTGGCTGTTGGTTCACTGCTCTTCCTGCCCTGCAGCCACGCTGGTCTCTGGAGCCTCGGACATGTTGCAGCTGTGGTAACCAAATGCCTAGAAGCCTGTCGAGTTGATAAGACCTGACGTCCCATCTCTTCTGCTTTTGAAATGTCACCTTGAGTGTGTGGAGCCCATGCTCAGAGAAGAGGGAGCCTTGTGGTGTTCCACATGTGCCTCTGTGCTCTGCCCTGCCTCTTCTCTGCCCTGCTTTGTACTGAAGGTCTCCACGTGTGCAAACTGCATTTCCCAAAATGCCTTGCCAACCAGCTTCCCGTTGGCTAATGCAATGGAAGAGACTGGCAGGAGATGGAGGGCAGGAGCCAGGAGAAGCCATGCAATTTCTCCCTGGGCCCTTTCTGCTTTGGGGAGTGTTTCTAGAATGGCTTGGTCTCCTCGGTGGTTCCAGTTTTGGAAAAGCACTCTCCCTACAGCCCAGCTCCGTGGTCCCAGCTGCTCCAGAGCCCTTCCCTTCCTGCTCTAGCTGCATGCTTCCTCCTGTCCCTTCACTCCTGGAAGGTGGGGCAGCCTTACCTTCTCCTGTTGGCTCTTTCTACTCCTTTTATGCCCAGTCCCCAGTGTTAAAGGCCTCCAGAGAGCCACCTGGATTCTGCCCCCTGGGCTCACCTATTGGCTGTCCCCTGAGAATGCAGTGGGTTCTGTCCTGGATTGGACGATGAGGCTAAAGTCAACACTAGCAGTTGAACACAGTGACCCTGGGCAACCCAGTAACTCTCTGTGCCTCCATTTGCTCAATTCTACCGTTTCCTGTAAACGGAGGATGGTATCACCTGGGGAATCTTCACAGTGAACTTTGCTTGGGGAGTTAGTTGCTGAGCGCCCAAGAGTACGGTAGAGTTGCAGAATGAGAGCGGCGGAGGAGAAATCAGAGCATGGTTAGGCCAAGCTCATCAGATGTCAGATGTGGGTTGAAGGAGATGTAGACCCCATGGTCCTAGGGTGAGCTACAGACACAGGCTGCACTGAGGTCTGCTTCCTAATGTCAGTCAATGGCCTCTTCACCACAGCCCCTGCTGACACCCCGGCATTGTTAGCAATAGCAGCACTCTGCCCTCTCCACCTGCCACAGAAACAAACAAGAAAACATTGTCATTTATTGAGCACCTACTAGGTACTGCTTGGGAACCTTACATATGCTGTCTCATCTAATCCTCAAAAAATCTGTGAGTGTAGGTTTCATTATTGCCTTACATCTATATATCGGAAAGTCAGGACTTAAAGTAAGTCTGGCTGGCCCTTAAGTCTGAGCTTTTCCTACCCTGTCCCATTCCCTTCCTTTCCTTCCATATCCTCTAAAGATGGATGGAGGGTTCCTTGCTGTGAATAGTTGGCCATACATTCATGATGATGTAATTGCTCTTTGGATTCTGTCTTCTCCTAGCCAGGTAGGATCGTGATTGCTCCCAACTCTGACTTAAATCTTTAGGTACTGTCTGGAATATTACTCCTGGTTTCTGAAGAATGCAACATTTATCTGCCAGAGGGTGAAAAGGGTGTTGTCCTCACACAGTAAGTACCCAGCTTGAGGAGGCTGTAGGTTTGCAGTCACTACACCCTATGGAAGGTTTCTGTGAACTTGAGAGGTCTTCTTGTCACCTGCAGCCAAAGGTGTGCGGTAGCTTACACGGTATCCATTAAGTCTAGAAAACAGAGTCTAAGCTATTTCTGATTTTCCAACAAAGAGCTTAATGTTTGACGTAGGGTATAGAAAACAAAAGCCGAGTCAGCCTGACATGCACTGTTACCCTGTGTGTGAACTCAGGCAAGTTTCTTAGCCTCTGAGTAAGTAAGCTCAAAAGTCAAACAAAAACTGGAAGGAAAGATAAACACTGAAATTCCCAACCAAAGAAGATGGGAAAAGAAGGCTGCATGACGTCCTGAAAGTGGAACTCCTCTCCCCGTCCTGATGGCTTCAAAGCCTCATTACCCACAGAACTCACTTGGGTTTTTTCTCCACTTCTACAGACAAAAGTGGCTGGTCTGGTAGGTCCGATTCCCAAACCACTGATTTGGTGTCAGATCATGCCATCTAATAGGCTATCTATCTGGTCAAGGGCCTCTGGCTTCCTGAAAATCATGGAGCTGTGTTAGACTCTTTGGGAAATCCCTTCTTAATTGTAACCCAGGTATAAGCTGGGTGCTCACATGGCCCAGTCTTAACAGGGGTTACCTTTAACAAAGAGTTCAGCCTCTCAGACTTTCCCTGTGTCCCTTAAATAACATCATCAAACGGCGTCCCATGCCAACACTTCTTAGATACTGTCCGCATTCCTTTGGCCTCGCAGTGTCTCTTGGTCTCACAGGCTCTCTACCACCACCTTCATGTGGCATAGCAGAAGCCAAACCCTGGAAGTGAGGGGTTCCGAAAGAGACATATCTTGGAAATACATAGTTCAGTGGCTCTTCTTTTGTCCTTGCCACATTGAAGTGTCTATGCACATAACGTATCACATTTACTGGGCAAAGCATTGATGACTTTGCAGTCAGGCAACCCGGGGAGATAACGGCTGGGTGCTGGAAAGGAGCCCTGAGCAGACGGCGGGGCAGCACGGGCTCCTCCTCCCTCCACTCTGCGGCTGACTAGCTGGGGTCTCACCTGGGTCCTCTGCAGGCTGACACGGACCCCCTCCCCGTAGCATACTGCCCCGTGCTGGCCCTCTGGAAGATCCCAAATGGTCACTGGGGCTGTCGGAGTTTCGCCATGTCTCTGCAGTGTTCCCACCTCGTGCCCAGTTCCTCACTCTTGTTCTTTCAGCCTTAAAGCAAAAGTGCCTCGAGAGTATCTGCGAGTCAGTGTGAGAACCTGCCCGTCTTCAGGCCGAGACCTTCACCCAACTTGGCCACGTCTGCAGAGCTCTCAGGCTCCAGCGAGATCACCCATGCATCGAATGTGGTTCTTTGGAGAAGTGGCACTTTTTCTCCCCTGCGAACTGGGTAGTCAAGGTAGAGGCCTTGTGACTAATGCTGTCATGACAGACCCACCTGCCTGCCTCCAAGGGATGGAAACTTAATGTCTGTGCCCCAGAAGCTCCTATGAGGCTCTCGACCACCCTGATAGCTGGAAAGCTGACGGAGAGGGTCAGAGCACACCGGCCCAGCCTGAGCTGACACAATAATGCCTGAGGTGACCTAAATGGAGGACATTGGAAAGACAGAAAAATTACAAACTGAGAAAGACTGAAACCATATCCTGGAGAGAGTCACATACGATCTTGCTAAATTGTTAACTAAATTTTAGTTGCATGTAACTAAGCAGGCTTGCAGTGCTGTGTAGTCTACATAATCTCCACGTTCCTAAACAGGAGACGATGAGAAACTACAAAAGGAGGCGTTGTAGGGCATTGTTTTAATTGATATCTTATCCTGATTCCTCCTCTGTGTGCCCCTCTGTATCTGGGAGTTGCCAAGAGCACCCACAGGCTCAATGGTTTACTAGTAAGACCATAGAACTCAGAAAAACCCTTAGTTTCACACATACCATTTGTACAGGAAAAGGATTCAGATAAAAATCAGCCAAGGTACAAGGCAGGTAAAGCCAGTTCCACGGGAGCCCAGGTACGGGCTTCTGGTTCTCCTGCCCAGGTAGGCTGTGCAGCCAGCACTTGACTGACTGTAAGGAAGGCCCACATGGAGGATGGCCCAACAGGGAGGCCGGAGCTTGGCATCCAGGGATTTGGCTGAGGTCAGTCAGTGGGTATGGACTGTCATGCCGTCTCTGGCCTCTCCAGAAGACCCCCACTATATAGTACATGCTCACATAAGCTGTCTGGTGTGGCCACAGGTGAAGTCACGGTGTCAGGATAGTCCAAGGGTCTAGCAGTGATTCCCCAGGAGCTGTTCAAGGACTGGGCCTTCCTGTGAAAGGTACAGGTGTGAGTCCCTGCACCTGCTGAGCCAGCCTGCAGCACACCCGCACACCAAGGGCCCCTTTATTGTATCGGGTCCCTTTTCATTGTTTCCAGGTCTGCAGATTCCAACTCCCTGGTAGATGCCAGACTCTGCAGGGCATCACCGAGCAGGTTTGCTCTCTCAGTGGCTCTGCAGGGACCCTTCACCCCTCATGGCTGAGGACAGCGTGCCTCCTGGGGTGTTCGGCACCCCTCCTCCCTTCCCCTTCCTCCCACCTGCATACACACTTCCCTTGGTGCTCCCTGGTGACAAAAGTCACCTTCATAATACAAATACAAAACAGTTTCCCCATGAAAGACTCTTGGGTGCCTAGCAGCCTGGGGGTGTATCTGGGGGTGTAGAACTGTAACTGTGGGGAGAGAAGCAGTCAGAAATGTCCCTGACCATCACATGGAAATCTTCCTTTTAAATCTCCAGAACAGTTGAGAGACCCTCATATTGATGCATGTGTTGAGCTCATACATACCTGTTGTCATGACTTTGGGGGCTGCAAATGGCCCTCTGGTTTGTAAAGATGATGTTGGATATGACAAATTTTGAAGGGTCAAAGGAACATCCACCTGGGTAAACCAAGGCTCAGTCCCTTTCACTAGGTGTGGGTTACTTTGATTAGATCCTTTCTGATGGATGAAGCTGAAGTTAAGGATCTTTGTCTGTCAGGACTCCATAGTTCCCCACAGAGTAACTCATCACCAGGGAGGTGAAGGATGGATGGATGGTCTGAGCCCAGGAACAGCGTTCTCCACTAGTGGGGGAGCTGGGGTGGACTTGTCTGCCCTGCTCTTTGGAAATGACTGAGCATGACCATAACCTTTAAAAACCCTGAATATGGAGTCCCTCTGAGGCCTGTGCAGGAATCTGACCTAGCATTAAGGACAGAGGCTCAGTGGACCATGTGGGGGGGAGGGGGAGGTGAGGGGGCGAGGGGGGGAGGTGGGGGGAGGCGGACCGGGAAGGTAGAGGGCTTCTATTGTCATATCATCTGCCATAGTAACAGTGATACTGGAGGAAACAGGACCCAAGAGTGAACCAGTGGCACAGTTCACTGGTCTGGAGATTAAGGGTGGCCTGAGCACTCCAGAGCTAAATTCATCCTGGCTTAAGTGATGGACAGGTGACAAGGAAGTCTCAGGGGTGAGACTGAAGAGACTGAACCACAGATCCAATCTGTGTGTTTCTGGCCACTTGTGCTTAACTGTGAGACAAAAGAGATATCGGTCCATGCCCCTGCTGGTGGAGGGGACCATGTACTAATTGCACATGCAATGCCAGCAAACTGAGCCCTTCCTAGCTGTGGAGGGGCTCACATTTCTGCTTCATTCATGCCCAAAGACAAGCTAATTTGGAAAGGGCAGGAGAGAGGAAGGGCGGGAGGAGGAGGAGAGAGATGGGGAGAACTTGTGTCTCTTGGCCGCAGGCTGTGGCTCTGCCTGTGTTTGAGCGGGTGTCCCTGTGACTGCACAGGTGAGCTTGTTGTGGGTTTGGTCCATGTGAGTGAGAAACTCAGTTGCCATCATGATGAAACCTGTAACCTTGAACTCTCATTTAGAACACTGCTTTTACTCTTACGCCTGGGTTCTTGTGAAAATTTTAATCTTGACCTATTCCATCAACACAGAATGTCAAGTCACAGTTCCAGGGATGTTGGAGACCCAGTGACTGTCAATCAGGTGATTTGCCTCCAACCCCAGGAGTTTTTGGCAATGTCTAGAGACATCTGAGTTGTCAAAACTCGTGGAGGTGAGGGAGGACAGGGCTACTGGCATCTAGTGGGTGGTGACCTGTGACTCCACAATGCACAGGACAGTTCTCGCAGAAAGGAATGATCTTGCCCAAATGCCCAGTACTCAGATACCTGAAACAGGTTATGGGAAGAAAACTCAAATTCCCAAGAAATGTCTAGAACAGCGAGCCTAAGCAGGTTGTGACTGTGCTTTAGCATCATGTGGGAAGCTGGGCTCTTGATTGTAGAAAGCTTGGGTTTGGCTACACTGAGCCCTGTATCCCCATGGACTTAGTAGTTTGGGAGGTGGCACTCCTCTGTGCTAGTGAGGGAGGACGGCGGCCACTGCAGCTTCACCCCTCGATGCCCCTGAGGGGCTGCACACCAGTAGCGACCTAGAAACAGAAGCTTCCCTGTGCCAGGAGGGCTACTTATTTGAAGAAGCCCCTCTGTGGTCTTTGGTAAATGCGCTGCTGAGCCCTGGCTTCACCTTCTACAGGCATTAGTGGCAGAATGAGCTGCTCACAAGGTCCTGACCAGGCTGAGCGATCCCCAAGAATGATCTGTCACATGTGAGCGTGGACAGATGCCTCAGGCTGATGACATCACGTTTCCTGTCTGTGAAAAGGAGCCAGCGGCCTCTCCCTCCAGGGACCACAGAGCAGCAGGGCTATAGGGTGACAGGGCCAAGGCCTGTGGAACGCCGTGGTGCATCCTAGACACTCAATATGCTTGTTCTCCTTGTTAAAAATCAGGAAACAGGACACTCACAAAAGGGCCGGGGAGGAGAGAAAGGAGCTGGGGTTGCAAGACAGACCACACAGGGTCCCTCCTCCCGTTCTGATAGGATAAGATCCATTTAGTGAATGTGGAAGCCACGGCTCAGCTGCGGCAAGCTCAAGGCCATGCTGCTACTCGGGTGCAGGACCGGCAACCCAAGGTGTCTGATTAGAAGGCCCCATTTCACTCAGCCCTCAGCTTGCTCGGAGAACCCAGAGCCAGGGCAAGAAGAGTCGCCCCCGATCCTCTTGCTGAAGAAACAGGGAGACCAGACAACGGCAGCTCTTTCCTTGTGGGAGAACCGAGAGGATTTTATCTCTTTCATCCCCAGGGTTCCCCTGTTGACCCAGGGACATAATCCCGAGCCTCTCAACCTTTGAGGTGAGGCTGGTGCAGGAAACAGGGAGGGCATTGTTCTCTAATTAGAGCCCAGGTCTCCTCGAGGCTGGGGCGGGCCTTGGCCTGTGCCAAGCCATAGTATTAGGTGACCCCCTCGGAGGAGCCCACCTGCCGAGGCTCATGAAAGCCTGTCTTCTGTATGTGGCAGGGAGGGGGCCCACGACCGGGGTCTTTCCTGGGATATAAAGGGCTCTGCTCCATCGGCTCAGAGCCAAACATCGCTTGTCCAACGGCCTGGCCTTCGAGGGGCGCAGCACGGTAGGCCCCTGCTTCCCTGGACAGTGAGAGCAGCTGGAGGCAGGAGGAGGAGGAGGGCGGGAGAAAGACTGGACACGGGAGGGAGAAAGGGAAGGATAATGGGGAAGGAAGAGGAGGGCGGGAAAGAGGGAGGGAAGGAGGAAGGAAAGAGGTGAGCAGAGGAGGGTGGAGGGAGAAGTGGATGCAGGGAGACGGGGAGGGAGGGGTGCGGCAAGGGCTGAGGCCCCAACCTCACTCCTGGTTGTAGCTGGAAACCCAAAGCCGCCCTTCTGTGAGGAGATGCAAGGCCAGGTGGACGGCCACTGGTGGCTTTCCCTGGGGAAAACCTCCATGGCACCACATCAGCCCACCCACCTAGACCAACAACTGAAGGATGCAGCTGTAAGCTGGCTCCCACCCCCTCCCCAGGTGCACGTTCTGAGATTAGTGCCCTCACTCTGCCCGGGGCTGGCTGCACACTGCCACCTTCTAGCTGGCCTCAGGACTCCCCTTTCTTGGTTCTCACCAGGGGGTTGTGATCTGCAAGTTGTCATCTGTCAAACCCCAGGCTGTGGCCTGATGCACTGGGTAATGTCCACAGGCAGAACCCAAGTCAGATGGGACCACTCAGGTTGAAGCCTGGGCCCAGCAGTGGCCGGGCACCCCCTGGCAGTTTTGCCTCTTGGTGAAGGCAGGTGGACAAGTTCCCAGCTCTCGGCCCCTTTTCTAGAAAGTGAGGCATGTGATGGAA